TGCTGGCACTGGCTTGGCTCCCCTCCCTCCCTCCCCTCTTTGTCTTTGTGTTTTGATTTTTCTTTTCTTGCGTTGTCTGTTGTTGTGTGTCGGTCTTGTGTTGTCATGTTTGTGCTGTCTTGTTACTTTCTTGTTTTTGGTGTTCCTCGTTAGGACATCATGTCCTGTTTTTATGTGAGTGTGCGGCTTCGAGTATTCTCGAGCCGTACGCTCTCTTGTCTGCGTGCCTTGTTTCATGTTGGAGCGTGGTATTCGGATCCCAGCACTCATGTCTTGAGTTTTGGTTTTGTGTCGGGGTCCGGACACTCGCGCTCCATGTTCTGTCTGTTGTGGGAGCGTGCGGTCTCGAGTTTGCTCGGCCGTGCGCTCTTCTGTCCACGTGTGTTGTGTTTTGTGTAGCACACGGTTTGTTTTCTGCCGCATGCTTTTCTTGTTGTTGCACGCAGCTCGTGTTATCGGCTGCATGCTTTCATGTCCTGTTTTGTCTTGTGCTGTGTAGCACGCAGCTTGGTTTTCGATGGCTGTGTGCTGTCTTGTCTTGTGTGAACATGCGGCTTATGAGTATTCTCATTAGCTGCGTGTTCGTGTCTTGTTTTGTTCAAGCACATGGCTTGTGATTTGTTTTGCTGGCCATGTGCTTGTGTTTTTGTTTTGTGTGAGCACATGGCTTTCGTCTTTGTTTCCTGTGTGCCATGTGCTCTCATGTCAATTGACTTGATTCCACCGATCTTGTTACCTGATTATTGGTTAATTTGCCCCACCTGTGTTTCCTTCGTTACCCTCCTCATTTGCTCCCTATTTATTCCTTGTGTTTTGAAGTCCCGTGCCAGTTTGTCATCACATGTATCCTGTCAGCCTTGTCCTGATCCTGCCTTGCCTTGCCTTGCCTTGTTGTGCCAGCCTGTTTTTCCCCCACGGGGTAGTTTTTGTTTTATTTTATTAATAAAAGCCCATCTCCTGCATCAGTGAGTCCTCGCCTCATCCCCAACCCTGACAGGTTTTGTTCATGACCTTGCTCCGCTTGACTGGGAGAAGATTTAGTTGATTCCAGACATTGAGTGTGCCTGGAATTATTTCTATGAAGGGCTCATCACTATCATTAATAAACATGCGCCTTTCAAAAAATATTGTGTAAAGGGTTGAGATAACCCCTGGTTCTCTCCCATTTTATCGAATTTGCTTCATGAGCGTGATGTCGCTTGGTCTAGAGCAAGGCATTCCGATCTTCAATCCGATTGGCTTTGTTTTAGACAATTACGTAACCGATGTACAATGATGACAAGGAAAGCCAAAGTTGATTACTTTTTAAATGAAACAACTCATAATCTAAACAAACCTAAGAAATTCTGGAAAACATATTGACTATTTCAGGTGCAAAAAAGCCTGTCGGACTTCCTTTGTACATAATGGACAATACCATAAAAATCTTGAATGACGGAGAGGTGCTGAACTGTTTTAATGAACATTTCGTTGCTGTAGGATCGTCGATTAAGGTACCTAAAACTATAGATATGAATAATGATATGGAAAACAGAGAAAAGCATTTAAAAGCTCTTAATTTCAGTTTTAAAACGCTTTCTATTTGTCAGATAAAAAAAGCTCTCAAACTACTAGTTGTAAATAAGTCAGCTGGTCCTGACAAATTAGAACCACTTTTTTTTAAATTAGCTGCAGATTACATTGCTGCCCCTTTGACATATATTTATAATCTTTCACCGAGTTTAAATGAATACACAAGTATATGGAAGTCTACTTTTGTTTTCCCATTGTTAAAAGGAGGAGATCCTTCCGATATGAATAACTATAGACCAATTTCTAAACTTTGTATTTTGTCTAAGGTTTTTGAATCTCTCATTAGTGAGCAGTTGATTTCATATCTTATGGAACATGATATTTTATCACATAATCAGTCTGGTTTTAGGAAACAACACAGCACAACCACAGCTGCGACTAGGGTTATAAACAATATCACTGAGGCGCTTGATAAAGGTAATTATTGTGTATCACTTTTTATCAATCTGTCCAAGGCTTTCGATAACGTTGATTTCAGTTTATTAAAAACTAGACTGAAACAAATTGGAATGTCAAATGAGACAACCTCTTGATTTGAAAGCTACTTAGTGGGCAGAACACAATGTGTGCAAATGGAAGGCCATTCATCTGCACCATTGCAGATTATGAGGGGTGTTCCTCAGGGGTCTGTTTTGGGGCCTCTGCTTTTTATTATTTATATTAATAATCTTGATTTTAATATTGGTCATTTTAATTTTAATTTTTATGCTGATGACACTGTGATTTATTGTAGCGCAACTAAATTACACCAAGCTGTGTCCTTAAGTGCTTTTGATGTTGTGCAACAAAGGCTTTGTGGCCTTTGAATGTGACTAAAACTAAAGCTATGTTATTTTCAAGATCAAAGAAACAAGTGGCAAATCAACTATCACTCAAAACCTCACAGGGTACCATAATTGATGAAGTGACAGAATGTAAATATCTCGGTGTTATGCTTGATGACTCCTTAACGTTTAAATCCCATATTAATGAACTAAGGACAAAACTAAAGGTAAAGCTTGGGTTCTATTATAGAAATAAACCCTGCTTTTCATTTGAGGCAAGAAGACGATTGGTTTCTGTCACATTTATGCCAGTCCGTGATTATGGAGACATTCTGTATAAATCGGCGTCTACCAAACTTTTAGGTTCTCTGGACACTTTGTATCACGGTGCGCTCAGGTTTATATTAAATTGTAATGTTAGTACCCATCATTGTGATTTGTATAATAGAGTTGGTTGGACGTCATTATCAACACGCAGACGTATTCACTGTTACCTGTTTATTTATAAATCCATCTCAGCTTTACTGCCTCCATATCTTTGTTCCCTCACCCAGCTCCTGGAGCTTATTCTCTGCGCTCACAGGACTTGTACATTCTTTCGGTTCCATTTGCACAAACTGACCTTGGAAAACAAGCTTTTCAGTTTGCAGCGCCCAATGATTGGAACTTTTTACAACACAACTTGAAGTTACAGACCTTAGTGTCAATTAACACTTTTAGATTCTTGATTAATGAGCTGTTAAAGGAAGAATTAATTTGTAAGTGTTTTTAATTGTTTTTAATACAGTGTTTTGTGTTCTTCTTCTGAAATGTAATGCTGCATCTTGGCCAGGTCACTTCTGTAAAAGAGATTTTTAATCTCAGAAAGTTTTACCTGGTTAAATAAAGGACAAATAAATAAATAAATAAAATAGGTGAATATTGTCACTTTTGTGCTTCTAGCACCAAACAGCACTTCCTTGCCCTTAAAGTATATTCATAATTTATTTAATACTGAAAAAGAACTATTTAATTAATCTGTCCTATCAATGGCAGTTTGGGGGAATGCTTGAGAATCCCAGTTCTGTCTGATTTTGATAGTGGTATGGAAATTCTAAACTTCACCTTCATCTTAAATAAAGTCATTATTTGTGAGTACTAGTGTAGACGCTTCATTGAATTGTTCTTGACTTTTCTGTAGACAAAACGGGACTAATCGCAGCTTTGCTAGGCGGAGGGACCATTGTGCTCTTCATTATCATGGGCTTTGTGTGGCTGCTTTGGAGGAAGTTGTCCAAAATCCCCATAATTCCTGAATTTTTGGTATGTGTCTTTTGGTCCTTTCATTGTGTATTTTTTTTTTTTTCCGTTTAAATTCTAGTATAGGCATATTTCAGCAACAACAACAAAAAAAGTATTCACCCTTATGTTGGTCCAAACGTTTTTATCACCTGTGGGAATATCCCTATGATAGTGATATCCTATGATATCCACTTTCATTTAATGAACAACAAACAGAATAAAGCCATACATGTTTGAAGCAGTATGAAGATCAGTTACATTATGACAGAATTTAACATTTTCAGGTGAACTGTTTCTTTAGGAATTGTTCTTTATTCAGCAGTGTTTTGTATTTGTGATGTGTCTGGTGATCTGCTGTTGACTCCCCATCAGCTGAACCAAGACTAACCGTTTGCTCCTTTCCATATGCAGCAGAACATTTTACCTGGCCAATCTCCTACAACCCAACCAGAGCCGAACGCTATTTCCCAAATGACACCTCAGGGACACACACCCCTACTGACAGATGAGATTTTTAGCTATGGTTCTCCCTCCATTTCCCCAACTGAGAAAGACTGCAAAGTAAATGCTATCCTTGATGACACAGTAGTGGTTCTAACTGAGGTTTCTGAAGTGGACATGGATTGTGAAGACTCTGAAGGCTTTGGCAGGTCGTCTGACTATGACAGTCCCAAATTCCTGCAGGAGATGAGTCCAGGGGACATTACTGAGGGATACGGCCCTCGACCACCAGTGATTTAGGTCTGAACCTGTGTAAGAACGACACTTGTTCACACCAAGTCATTGTAATCAATTTTGGTCCATTAACAATTTCACACACTGATCATTTGAAAGACTTTTTTTTGCCATTATTTTGTGTTCTCTGTCATCGCCGCGGCTGAAAAGTAGCACATGAAACACTGCTTACATTTATATTTTATTCTTTGATAATTCTGGGGTGGCACAGCTTTTTCTTAGGGTGGCAGTTGCCACCCCGGTAGATCCGCCCCTGTCAGTAGGCTTGTGTTGTGTGCACAGAGACAAAACTACATCGCACCCATTCAAATCAAAGTTGTGTACAATCAGACACAGTGTAGAGGGTTCGATTGTGGTGAGAGTTATCTAGATTGTTGCGATGTGCTGCATTGACAGTGTTAACTACAGCCATGGCGAGTTCCCACTAACCTGCATTAAGATAAATTAATGTGTAAATAAAATAATTTTTCTAGGGAGGGGAAAAAAAACTGTTGAAACGTACACTGTCAAGAGGGGGGGAAAGGGGGCAACGTCGTGTCAGAAATTTACCAGTACCTTTTTCATGATATTTACAGACATTTGCAGTAACACAGTGTTACAGTGTCCTTGTTACACATGATACATGTACTTATAATAACAATAAATTATGCATAATTGCATGCAAGTAACCCTAAACCAAACCCTAATCCTAACCCTAACATATAGTAAGTACATGTAGTTAATTAATATTACTGTTATACTACTTAATATAATTAGTATTACTCTAATATTAATGTTATGTAGTTAATTAATAAAAGTACTTAAATGCATAGGCGCTTTATGTTTCTGCCGGTGGGTGCTCAACCTCCCATCATATATATATATATATATATATATATATATAAAACCCATTTTCACCAGTTTCCACGACTAAATAATAACTGGGCTAAGTTATCATACACATACGCAACAAATTTAATATTTTCAAATATTTCATTCTCATTACTCGGTAATTAATTATACTGTGTGTTAGTTTTTGTTTTTTTTCTAGAGTATACTCCGTTGGATGGTGAGTTTGATGAATTTACTACACAAAATATATCTTGCGAAGTGAAAGCAAGGACTGCAAATACATTATTTAGTAACCAAATAATACTTACATTATTGCTATTGTCACGGAGTCACCAGGTTTTCACCACCACGCAGTGATCCCAATTACCTGAATTCTGAACACCTGCACTCAATCAGCATACCCTCATCAGCCCCAGCATATAAGCACACACCTCAGTTCAGTCTTTGTCTGTCCTCGATTAGGCTACAGACACTCTGTCTGTCTATCCTGTGATCTCCAGTATTCCAGTGGACTCTCCAGTTCTCCTGCGAACGATCTCCGTTGAACTAAGATTATCTCCTTGAAGTTGCTACTGAAAACGACTTACCTCTCTGGCGCTGAGGTGTGTGCTTCCCGATCCTCATTCACCTTCATCAATAAGACTATTCCTATTAAATCATCCACCCGCACTTCTCCCTTCCATCGCTCCCTATACCTGTTTATGTTGCTTTACAATTAATAAATTGTTGGATTTACCTAACCTCCCTGTCCAGAGTTTGTATATATCCTGACAGAAGGACAGACCTGGCAAGATGAATCCGACATATCATGATCCATTTAAGGAATCAGTTGAAACGATGAGAAGAGAACTCGCCGGTCACACAACTCCATCAGTCACCACCACCACGTCCGTTCCACACTCTCCTTCTCCGATCATTGTCGCCAGTCCCATGGTCAATCCAGTGCCCTACTCTGGCGTGGCGGAGGATTGCAATGGCTTTCTATTGCAGTGTTCACTGGCACTTGAAATGCAGCCATAGCGGTTTCCTACTGAACGTTCTAAGATCTCATATGTTATTTCTCTGTTAACAGGAAGAGCTTTGCAATGGGCAGAAACTATGTGATATCAGTGTGGTCCAGTTATGCAGTCATTTGAAAACTTTGTGGCCCACTTCTGTGAGGTATTTGGACACCCCATAGGAGACTCCTCCATCTATGACCAGTTATATCACATCCGTCAAGCGAAGAGCTCAGTCTCAGATTTTGCTCTGAAATTTCGAACCCTCGCCACCTCTAGTGGATGGAATGAGCGAGCCCTGCTGACTACCTACCGTCAGGGTTTAAATCCTTCGCTACAACTGCAATTGGCCATTTACGATAATTCCATAGGTTTGGAAAAATTCATCCAACAATCCAACAGTGTCTAACCGCATGAAAAGCTGCTTGGAAGAGACATCTGCCTTGCAATCCTCCGCAACTCACCACCGCATGCCTGAGCGACCCGTCTTCCCAGAACCAGAGTTTGAGCCCATGCAGATAGACAACACCCGCTTATCACCCGCTGAAAGACGCCGCCGACTGACCCAGAATCTCAGAATCCATATTGTGGAGCTGGAGGGCATGTAATCTCATTATGCCCAATTAGACAACCAAGTCCTTCCATTAAACTTTTCTCCACTGACTACTACTGTTTCAGTAATTACTGCCAACCATGTTGTTACAGTTACCGCCCTCCTTGTCTCTGGGTCAGCCGGTAACTTCATCTCCGGACAACTCTGCAGGCAGCTCAACCTCCAGAAGACCTCAACTCCAACCCCGTACAAGGTCCAGTCAGTAAACAGAAGAACCCTAAGCGGAGGCTACATTCATCATCAAGTCAAACCCATCCTGCCAAGAGTTGGCTGCCTGCACATAGAGGCTTTCTCCTCTGGTTCTGGAAGGTTCGGTAACACTTTACTTGAAGGGGTGTGCATAAGACTGACATGACAACTTCATAATCATGACATGACACATGTCATGAATATGAAGGAGGTTTTATGCATGTTTATGACAACTGTCATTAAGTGTCATTCGCTCAGTTATGTCATTTTTTTAATGCAAATATGACATTTGACCTAACCCTACCCCTACCCTTACCCCTAACCATAGCCCATAACAAAGACATCTCAAACAATGTCATCTTTGCATTAAAAATTACATAACTGAGCGAATGACACTTAATGACAGTTGTCATAAACATGCATAAAACCTTCATATTCATGACATGTGTCATGTCATGATTATGTAGGTGTCATGTCAGTCTTATGCACACCCCTTCAAGTAAAGTGTAACCGAAGGTTCTACCGTCGCTGTCATCCTAGGGCGCCCCTGGCTAATACAACATCAGCCCAGATTGTTGTGGATTACGGGTGAACGTTCACGTGCAATGGGGTGAAACCTGCTTCCCTCATTGCTTTCCAGAACTACCTCTACAATCTCCAGATCCTACGGCAGTATTACCAGTTAACTCCACAACCATTGAAATGACCATGGGACTGTGCCATCGACCTGGTACCGGGTGAGTAAGTGCCCCGAGGAAGGATTTATCCACTATTCATACCAGAGCAGAGGGCCATGGAGGAGTACATTGAGGAGGCACTCAAGCAGGGTTACATCCGCCCTTCAACCTCTCCTGCCGCATCCAGCTTCTTTTTTTGTCACCAAGAAGGACAGAGGCTTGAGGCCCTGCATAGATTATCGAGCACTGAATAAGATCATGGTGAAGTTCCGCTATCCACTTCCCCTCGTCCCAGCGGCTTTGGAACAGCTCCGCGACGCTTCAGTTTTCACCAAGCTGGACCTCCGAAGCACTTACAACCTCATCCGGATACGTGAGGGGGACAAATGGAAGACAGCATTTGTGACACCTGCTGGACACTATGAGTATTGCGTCATGCCGTATGGCCTGGTCAACGCCCCCTCCGTATTCCAGGATTTCATGAATGAGGTGCTCCGGGATTTCCTCAACCGCTTTGTGGTAGTGTATATCGATGACATCCTGATATACTCCCGGAGTCTGGCTGAACAGTGCCATCATATTTCGGAGGTCCTACAGCATTTGCGTGATAACCAGCTTTTCCTAAAAGCAGAGAAATGCAGTTTCCACCAATCCTCCATCCAGTTCCTTGGGTATAACATCTGTAAAGAGGGCATTCTCATGGATGAAGGGAAGGTATCAGCAGTGAGGACCTGGCCAATTCCCACCACCATAAAAGAACTCCAGAGGTTCCTTGGCTTTGCCAATTTTTATCGCCGGTTCATTCAGAATTACAGCTCGTTTGACCTCACTGCTGAAAGGCAGGCCCAAATCTCTGTGCTGGACCTCAGAAGCAGGACGTGCCATGGAACAACTGAAATTAGCATTCACCTCTGCCCCACTCGTTCTCCATCCTGATCCTGAGAAGCCCTTCGTAGTAGAGGTTGGGGCAGTATTGTCACAGCGGCAGGAGAGAGCATCCGAACTCCTTCCATGTGCCTTCTTCTCCAAGAAACTTAGCCCGGCGGAGCAGAATTATGACATCGAAACAGAACTTCTTGCTATCAAGCTTGGCCTAGAGGAGTGGAGGCACTGGTTGGAAGGAGCCAGGTACCCCTTCACAGTACTAACAGATCACAAAAATTTGCAGTATCTCCGTGAAGCTAGAAGACTTAATCCCAGACAGGCCGGATGGGCACTCTTTTTAACCAGATTAAATTTTATAATCTCTTATCGTCCCGGATCCAAGAACGTGAAGGCAGATGCTCTCCCGACTTCATACCCCAGATGGAACTACCCGAACCAGTGCTTCCCTCCTCCCTCATTGTCAGTCCCATCCAATGGGACATAGAAGAACAGATTGCTGAAGCTACCCTCTCTGAACCAGCTCCACCGGGCTGCCCAGCTGGATGTATCTATGTACCCAAAACTCTTCGAGTACAACTGATACATTCTGCTCATTCTTCATTGGGCACTGGCCACCCAGGGACTACACAGACCCTCTCGCTACTACAAGATCGGTTCTGGTGGCCTGGCATGGCTAATAACAACCGACGTTACGTCCAAGTCTGTCAGAAATGTGCGACATCTAAGGTCCCTTCCAGGTCGTCAAACAGATCAACCCCATCACTTATGAATTAAAGTTACCCACACTCTTCAGAATTCATCCCACTTTTCATGTGTCCCTGCTTAAACCTCACCATCCTCCCCGTTTCTGTTTCATCTACAGAGCCTGGTAACAGTGACAACCCCCCAGCACCTCAGATTGTGGACATGGAACCCATCTACACGGTGAAGGAGATCATGGACTC